CCACAAGTCCTGTATCACTCCACAATACCAGAGGAGCACTTACAATATGTCTTTTTTCTCCATTGGACACACACTCCTAAGAAATACTATCGCTTGCAGCCATTCAGTTAGGAGACATTCAGATGACTGCAGTTCAGAGAAGACCCCTGTGTCCAAGCACTTGCTAACATTCCTTTGGAAGGAGAGAACACAGCTAACAATTTAGTGCCAGTATATGCTCATTTCCCAGTATTCACTTGGAACTGTGACTGAATTGTTTGCAAGTAATACCTACTACTGTAAAAGCTTGCAGAGGGTGAGTGAATGTCCCAAGTGTTGGGCTTTCACCCATTCAGGAAATAAAATAAATGAGATATGAGCCGAAGTCCTGCTGTAAATTTCTACTTTTGTCATACATTTGACCTTTTTTAAAATCACCCTCCTGAGACAGAAAGATTTGATTTATGTGTCACATGTTTTCTGAACATACAAGAAAATTTCTCAGAAAGAAAAGCATGTGGACTACCATGAGTCTCCTAAATGAATGCAAGGTCCCTTCTGGAATATTCTTGTTTACAGTAAAGTTTAGTCAAACATTTCTGGAGTTTCTTAAAAGAGTAAAAAGCTCCTGTTGTATCAAACTTACAGTAATTATATTCTGTTATTTATCTCCTAAAAATGAACATGAAGAAAATCCAGGAACCACCCAACGTAAGCCCACAGCCCTGCCCTGGTTTAAGTACTCTAGCCAATTGTGGATTAAATAGTGATCAAGGATCTGACATTAGCCCAGTTTTTTGCATGAAACTTTGCCACTGAGAGAAGATTCTTTATGAATTCTGCAGCTGACTTAAGTCAATGTGACTAATCATGGCAAAGCTACATCAGTTTCACTGGTGTACAGCAAATTCAGGTTTTGCAGTACACTAGAAGAGGGGAAATACCTCATGTTTTCTTTCCTAAGTAACTCAGCTGGGCCGAAGGAGTAAAATTCCTTTTTAATAGAATCCTCTTTATGATGTAGATCTGGGAATAGCATTAATGTATACTCCTCTGTAAAAGGCAACTAGCCTGTAACTTATTATCACAGAACCATAGAAGCATTAAGGTAGGAGAACTGAACCAGCTGGGATGCATAGTGGCTTAGCTCAGCTGGCTTGTGCAGAAGGCATACCTGAGAGCATGGGAGGCAGGGATACTGAAAGGATGGAAATTAGGATGCTACTGGGATCATTCCATAATAGGCCACGTTGCTGGTTCTGGTTCTCAGTTGGTTAGGGGCCTGTCACACATAAGGACATGTCCCTGGTCCGTGCTGGCAATTGGACCCCTGTCCCTCAGGTACCCCTACATGTTGCTAAGTTCACCCCTTGGTCTTTGGAGCTTGCACCCAGAACATGCAGTTTCTGCAGTTTGTTATTTTACCATCGTTAAGGTTTTATTTTTCAGGCAACTCCAGTTCCCATCCCTCTTTTTTGCCATGCTCACCAGGCCAGACTGGATTTGGGGTCACAGTGAGCCAACTGTGACATTATGGTTGGAAAGAACCTTCACAGTCATGGAGTCCAACCTTTGACCAAACACCACCTTGTCAACCAGACTACTGCACAAAGTGCCATGTCTAGTGATTTCTAGCACACCTCCAGGGACAGTGATTCCACCACCTCCCTGGGTAGTCTGTTCCAATGCCTAACCACCCTTCCAGTGAAAACAATTCTTCCTGATGTCCAGCCTGAACCTCCTCTGGCACAGTGAGGCCCTTTCCTCTCATTAGGGACAAGAGGCTGATGCCCACCTGGTTACAACCTCCTTTCAGGGAGCTGTAGAGAATGATAAGGTCTCTTCTGAGCCTCCTTTTCTTCATTAAAATTATAATACATTAAAATCAAAGGCAATGGAGTCTGAGTGTGAAATATTTGCTGTATCAGTAACAAGGAAGGTGTGGCAGGTGCCATCTCCATGTGTTGAACAATTCTACCTGAAACAGAGACCCATTCCTTCCTTCTTAAGGGGTTCATAGCAGGCACAGCACACCATGTTCCCATGGAACAGGAGGTCAGGTTCAGAACCCATTCAGCAAAACTCATCATGCCCTGTCTGTCATTCACAGGTTTATGGCAAGGCTGCATTCTGAACCCAAATACAAACACATCACATTCAAACACTGAGATTTTTTTCCCTTTATTGCATCTTTCTTCTATCACAAAAAGCACAGAAAAAAAACATGCCTTAAATTCACAGACATGAAATCAGAATTCAACCAATCAACATAAAGACATGTTTTGCAGCTTGCTTCTCTTTACAGTGTATGTCTAATGAAGAATATAAAAAGCAGTTGTATTAAAAGCCTGGTTCTATTTGATTATTTTCAAATGTTAAAATATGAAATCATTAAATTACACTGTATTTGTCAATTTTGGCAGGAACTACTGCCACTCAAAGGACACAGTGATGATCTACAGAGGAAAGGAAACAATGGGGCATTGCCATGTGCAGGTTTCAGTGGTGCAGGGTCTGAGAAAATGCTACAGGAACAAGTCACACTCTGCCTTGCCACCATTCACAGAAGCTTTCTAATGCTGAAGACACTATTAAAAATAAGCAGGGCTTAGTTGGATGTTTTAAAAAAAGCAAACATAGCTGTGATTTAAGCTTTTTGTGAGATCTATTTGACTTTTCTCTCAGCAGAGAAAACAGTGTGATACGGCAAGGGAAAGACTTTTTTATTTAGATATAACTGATGCAATAAAATATCTTCACTAACTTATGCACAGTATGAAACACCAAAATCCAGCCTCCTGAAATTACTTTTCATTCATTTGGCACATAAGAATTCATAAAGCATTCCTGGCTTCGTTTTCTTCTAGAAATCATTTGTCAATTGATAGAAGCACAAGAGATCTTAGACACTTAAGACACCATCAAAAGCTGTAATAGGTTTTTAACAGTAATGCCTTCCTTTCCAAGAAAAGCAAGTCAGTCTAGTTCCCCCTTCACTCCTTGTCAATGAAATAAATATGTTTCAAGCAGAGAACAGAAAGCTCTTAACCCTCTTCTCTGTCTGGGTGTGGTTACTATCACTGCTCCTACAGATTGTTCTGCATTATCTTACTGTCCATTCAGATGGGGCTACTACTGGTCTCTTCACATACTAGTGAAAACCAGCCCTAAATTAAAAGCTTACACAATTAAAAAAGGCAATTCTGCAGCATGGGAGAGAAATACCAACTTCGTCTCAGATTATATAATTGGGCACAGACAGGTTAAAAACAAATCTGCAATGAAACTGAAGTGTCTCATGCTCATTAAATTCTATCACAAGCTGTGTCTAAGCCCCTTTTTTTGGCCTTGGGCTGCATACTCCAGATCACACAGACTGTCCCAGAGATAGGAGCTGAACTGTCCAAATCTTTCTGTAGCACATTAGCCTCGCAGAATCTTCCTCGTGTTTCTCTATACAACCACGATTATTTCAGTGCCATAAAAGGAGGACAGAGACATGGGTTGAATCCATTCCTGCAGCACCCCAAAACTAATACAGCATTTTCTAAGTTTCTGACTTCCTAACAAATCCAGAACCACAAGATGTTTCAGTGCTACACATGCCTCACCTCTTGCTACCAATATTTCTCGTGGCTTTAATTTCCTCAGTCTACAGTCAGTCACAAAACTGCAGCACGTGTTTCTAGATGATGGCCACAGCAGCTGCTGGCAACATTGTCCTGTTGACATACATTTGATTTCCAACTTGTATGCTCAGATTATGTGTAAGGCCTTCTTTATTTTGTAAAGAATATATATATGTACACAAGTAATCATTGGCCAAACCTGGTGACAAATTCAAGCCTGAAAGATCAGTTCATGTGATTTGGATTTGATTGATTACTCTCTTTAAGACACTGAAATGAAAGCTATAGTATGACAATAAACTTCTTTTAAAAAAACTGAAGGTGGAGCTCCTATAATTAATAGAAAACTAGCCTGTACTTTCTATACATTGCTATTAAATGGAATCCTACTACTGTAGCCTAAAGCCTGAAAAAATCCTCTCAGACTGTTAAATACATGTTTAATAAAAAGGTTTTGCAAGAAGTTACATTTGCTATCAATAACCAGTGAAGAATAGGTCCAAGATCACGTGTTATTTCCAGTACAGAGTGATACAAATACCACCACTGAACACATCTGCACCATGTTGGCTGGTTAAAGATGAGGGTGAGGGGAAAAATAGATAATAGTCTGAGTGGTTTCATTCTCTTTTTCTCCATAAAGATGAGTTTCCCAAAAGATATGCTATTTTCTGCCCCTTTTTTAAAGTAAGTGCTTTGAAATCTGGCTGTCATCCTCTGGAAGATAATGGAGCAGAAAGTGAAGAAAAAAAATCTGCTTTTTCCTGCAGCAACAGGGCACTTGAACAAAGAGCACAATTTTAAATTCCCACTCTTAGCAGGGTTTTTTTTCATGATCTTTTAGGAGTACTTCTGGTTCATCTCTTGCTTCAACCTTTTGCTCCCCCAGTGTCAGGGAGATCAGGGACAGCTACTGCAGAGCTGATCATGATCCCTTTTCAAGCTTTTTGGAACCATCAGTCTTCTTGGGACACACCTCACATCTGCTCACTTGTACAACAGCATTCATCTCTGTGGTATCAGCAGTAACTCCTTCCTCTTTATACCTGGTGTCTATTAAAGCTATTCATTCACCATGTAATGTGGGGGGAACAGCTTTAAACTGACAGAGGGTAGGTTTAGGTTGGATATTAGGAAGAAAATCATTAATGTGAGTGTGGTGGGACTCTGAACAAGATGCCCAGAGAAACTGCAGATTCTCAGAGAGAGAGAAAGAGAGCAGAAGAGAGTCAGATGGAACTAGATGATTTTTGAGATCCTTCCCAGCCCAAACTATACTGTGACTCTAGAAGACGTGTGCATGTGTATTTTAACTTGATATCATTAATATTATTATCATCATCATTTTATCTATATTTTTATTATAATTATTTACTACTACTACTACTACTATTTCTTCTTCTTCTACTTTCTATGCCTCTACTTATAATTATTACCTATACTACTACTACTGCTACTACTATTTCTTCTTATTATTTTTTCTTCCTTTTCTTGTTATTATAACTATTTCTTCTTAAGTGCTTCTTCATCTCGCTGGTGCCAGCAGTGGGCCCTAATCCTCGGGCTGTGGCCCCAGGCAGAGCCAGTGGAACAGGCAGCACAGCGCCTGCATGAAGCGGGAGGGACGTTTCTTCTGGGGTTCCTGCTGCTGGCTGAGGACCTCGTCTTCTGCCTGGGGAGCTGAGGGCCTGGGGCAGCTGCGCAGGGCACGCACTGGGCTTGGTGTCCTGGCCTCTGACACCTGCTTCTGGAGGGCAGGAGAGGGCCTGTGTCCTCTGCGGGCCAGGCCTTCCACTTGGGCAGGCGAGGTGCGGAGCAGCCCTAGGAAGTGCGGCTTGGATGCCCCATGCTCAGCGCAAGCCTCGCGAGGGGCAGCCATGAAGAACCCGCTTCCTGCCAAACCTGCCGGTCTGTCTTTGTCTGCACAGAGCTCAGTGACAGTTGCCTCATCCCTCTTGTCCTCCTTTGGCAGCAAGGACTTGGCCCCGATGTTCTGTTTCCAGCTGTCCTGCTCAAGGTCTTGGTCACCATCACTTCCCCATCTGGACTCCACGGAGGGTCTCTTCTCATTCTCTTTAGACACGTTCTGGCCAACTGAGTCTTCCTCTTGTGAAAGCTCTTGACCAATGTACTCTTCCCAATCTGACACTTCTTGGTAGCTTCCGACATCTCCAGTGGACAGCTTATGCTCACTGTATTCTTCCCAGTCAGACAGCTCATGGTGGCTACCAACTTCTTCTACGGACAGCTCCTGAAGTTATGAAGAATGAAGAAATACCAAGTCACCTTCTCGGTATTTTCCCATTTCTCCTTTGGACAGCTCTGGGTCTTCTTCACTGTCACCCTGGGAAAGCTCAACCTCCCCAGCCAAGGCCCCCTCCTTGCCCTCTTCCTCTGCCAGGACTGACTCCCTGTCTGTCTCCTTCTGCTGCTCACTGAGCACCTGAGCTCCCAGTGGGCTGGGTGAGGGGCTGGGAGGGCATCAGGGGCTGTGTGGAACCAAGGTGGGTGTCCTGGAGCTGCTGCTTCCAGTTCTGCAGCCACGCTTTCCTCCAGGTCCCCCTGTTCCTCTGGCTGCTGGCCAGATGCCTGGACCTTAAGCACAGCCTTGAACACCACCTCAGAGCTGATGCACCTCACTAAGTCCAGCAGAGCCTGGCTGCAGCCTGGGAGGGCTGCGTGGGGCAGGGACCGGGCTCTCTGTCCCTGCTGATGGCTCCTTCTCACTGCAGGCAGGAGAACCTGGTGCCTTTTCCACCTTGGGAGTCAGAGGCTCCAGGGTCTTCTCCACCTTCTCAGCAGCTCCAGCCAGAGCAGCAGCAGCAGCTGCTTCCAGATCGTCCTCTGTGCGACTCCCTGGAAGAGCTGGGAGAGCTGTGCCCCTGCTGGGCAGAAGTCTGGGCATCCTCATCCTTCTCTGGTGCACGGGTTTCTCATAGATCTCATACCTGATGTTTTCTACCCCTTGGGACAGTCCCGGTCTGCTGACACTTTCTTCCCTTTGGGACAGCTTTTGGTCACTGCTGTCTTTTTCCCATTGGGCCAGATTTTGAACACCATAGTCTTTTCCTTGGCACACCTCCTTTCCCTGTTGTCTCCCACTTGGGACAACTCTGTCTCTCTCTTGTCTCCTTCCCATTGGTGCATGTGCAGAAGGCCTTGCACATCTTCTTCCAAAGGAGAGTTCCTGATATTCCTTCCCTTCCCACTGGGACAGCTCTTGGTATGTCTCATCCTCTTCATCCCATTGGGAGAGCTCCTGGACCATCACACTTTCTTCCCATCTCCCCAGTGGACTCTCACACCTACCTCCTGCTGCTGCCTCTCTGGGTGTCTCACTCCTCCGTGTGGTGAAACTCCCTGGACTGTCTCTTCTTGCTGTTGGTCAAACTCTCGAACTGTCATGTCTTCCCAAAGGCAAAGCTCTTGGCTTGTAACATCTCCGCACTGGGAAAGCTCTTGATGCATGTAATATTCCCACTCTTGTTCCATATTGGCAAAGGCCCCCTCCTCCTCAGTGTCCAACAGGGGCAGGCCTGAGCCGCCACTGCCCGCTGAGGGCCGGGTCTTGCTGCCGGCTGGGCAAGGGGCTGGGTGCCTGGGAGTGGGGCTTTGCCTTGTCCTCCTCTGCGCCTGACCTCCTGTGACACAGAGCAGGATCCCGGGAGCTGCGTCCGCCTGAGTGAGCGGCTCTCCAGGGACTGGGCAGCGCAGGGCCCTGCACCCCCTACACCCCCTGCAAGGTGTGGCTCTGCCATGTCACAAGGGGCCCTGGGCACCACAGTGTCCCGCATCTCCTGGACCCTGACACAATGCGCTTGTGTCACGAAGGGCCACGCCTGAAAACCCTTCAGCCCCCAAACCCACTGGAAGTGGCATGGAGCAGCCCCCAGAATGGTGGGCTTCTAGCCCCTTGTTGTGATCCAGTTACTAAAATTACCAGAAATGCCTCTGCCCGAATTAGGGTGCGAACAAGACCATATGCCAAAGTCAATAATATGGGTTTTATTTAGCAAGAAATGAGAGAGAAAAAGAAATAGGAAAGAGGTGTGGGGAGAGCAGGAGTGACGGATTTAGTAGAAAACCTCACTGCTCTGTGGATCCCAAAGGTGTCCTGTGGATGCTCTTCATCAGATCTTCTTGGTGCTGAGGGTTCCCCACACACACAGAGTTCAGTAGGTCAATACAGACTTGGGCCGGGTGGGAAGGCACAGGTCCCTCCCCTGGTGGGGGCAAGTTTGACACAGTCCCTTGCAGCAGACTCTGATCTGCTGCAGCCCTTTGCATCACAAGCAAGGCCTCAGCAATGAGTCTGGGGAGTGTTTTGGGGGTCTCTGATGGATTATGCACCTCCTCAGCTGACTCTCATGGGAATGTCCAATGGATGTGGTGTTCCTGAGATGGGATTTTTACAGCTGAGCCAGTTTGTGTGAGGGAAGATGCATGTTCATTGCCTGTGACCAGAAGTTACACCACAGCCCTAGAACTCTCCTCCTCCCTTCCTGATTTTTGGGGGAGTGTGTGCAAACATGGCCTCAGCAGATGAGCCTGTGGGCAATAGCCTCCCCCAGTCTGAGCCTGGCCCAAGCTGCTTTCAAGGACAGCTGCTGGATTTGGCTTTCTTGCGGATACTTTCTCCACTTTCTTAGTCTTGTTTCTGTGTCCCTAGAGCAGAGGTAATAGAACAATAGTGTCACCTTTATCATATCTCAGGTTCCCTTAGACAGCTCAAGTCCCAGCCCAAAGCTGCAGTCAGGTGAAGGACCGGTGCGCTTGGGTGGGCTTGGGTGGTCTCAGCCTCTTTATCCAGTTTTGCCTTAATGGGCAAATCTCCTTCCTAGCAATGTTTAAGCCATTACCCATAACATTTCAGTCTCTGACACACCTGATGTGCCCAGAGCCCCTGTGAGGGAAGCTGAGCGGGGCAGGGGCTGAGAAGAAGCACTTGGGGTGCGGATGGAGGAGAAGCTCAGCATGAGTTGGCAATCTGTGCTGCCAGCCCAGAAATCCAGCCCTGTGCTGGGCTGCATGGAAAGGAGCAACGAGCAGCAGGTCTAGGGAGGGGATTGTGGCCCTCTAGTCCATTTTTTCAGACCCTACCTGGACCTGTACATTCTATGGGCCCCAGCATAAGAAGGATGTGGACCTGCTAGAATGAGTTCAGAGGAGAGCGATGGAGATGCTCAAAGGGCTGGAGCACCTGTGCTATGAGGACAGGCTGGGCAAAGAATGTGTTCCAGTCAGCTTAGGGAGGGATGGCTGTGACTGAATTGAGGTGCAAATGAGACCATATGATGACCATATCCAGATTTTATTTCACAAGAACTATGAGGGAGAGAGATAGAAAAAAATAGGAACAAGGACATTGTAGATTCCATCCCTGGAAGTAGTCAAGTCCAGGCTGGCTGGGGCTTTGAGCAACCTGATTTAGTTGAAGATGCCCCTGTTTATTACAGGAGGTTTGGACTAGATGACGTGTAAAGGCCCCTTCCAACCCAAACTCTTCAATTATTCTGTGATTAGTATTTGCAAGAAAAATCAACTATCACACGATGAAGGCTAGGCAAACAGGACCTGATTACGATCTGCTTCAGAAAGACATTTCGGGATAGTAGGTGAATCCTAAATCTACTTTAAATCTTTTGCATTATATTGTAGTGTCCTCTGGGCGGACTTTTAAGACCCAATTAACGCTATGCTGCTATTTCTCTCGAAGCCATTTTTCAGTAAGACTGTAGGTGGCAGTAGCTAGACACTTATTTATTTTCCTGGCTGCTTAAAAAAACCAATCCTCCTTCCATTTTTGTGAAACAGGTCGTGGGAGGACAGTCAGAATCAAGACCCAAAAAAACCCATTCCCCCTCTGCTTGTCAAATTTCTAGGATGAAAAATGTGC